CTCTCACTCAAATCACAAAGTCTGACAATGACCTGTACCTAAGGCATCTATGGTAAGACCACAAAACCCTTTCTTTTATTAAAGAAAAGCTTAGAAAAAGTTGTTCACTTAGTTCCCTTCCCGTACAAGGAAACCAGTCCACCACCCCGGAGGTAGGGTAAACCGTACGTTGTGCCAGTTCACATTTCCACGAACCCTTCTTCATTGTAGTCGATTTGATCATGAGATCACATGGCAGTCGACACACCCGGGCCGTATTCAATCCTTCCCCCCAGGGAAGGGGACGAAAACCCCTTCGAATTGTTTCGTCTTTACAACCGGGATTGCTGTAGGAAAGGGCCCATTTGTATCGTTTGTGTAAAAGTAAACATGTATTGAACGTAAAGAAAGTGTAACGTTGAATACAAATAAATTTAGGTTTTTCGTTCCCCTAGCCTAGAGGAAGGATTGGATACGGCCTCTGGTGGAGCGTAGAGGGGCGGCCCAACTACCGCTGCGACCGTGCCTTTGAGCATGCGCAGGTCAGAACGAGACCTTCCGCGGCTTCGCCATTAGACACAAAAATAGCGCGAAGATAAATCTTTATTGCATGCATGAGGTATTTGAAGTAATTTTACTGTACTGAAAACAAATCTTATCTCATTGACAATAATGTACTGTGCATACTATTCACAGTTACTATACAAAACTTGCTTGTATAATGATCACCACCATAAAAGGCACATCAAAAGCGGTGATTATACATATCAACCGGCATATTAGTAATATGGACACCTATATCCTCACCCTAATGAATCGCATCGAGCATCGAACCGGATCACCTGGTAGTAGACTCTATATTTACAATCATTAGAACATCTGGTTGATCTCGCATCATAAGCCGTCTAGCTACTCATTACTAATATACAAAAATGTAGACAAACAGATGAAAGAAAAGATGGAAAATTTCGACGTAGAATGAAAGGGTGAGCTAGTTATCATCACGCAAATGATCAAAACGGCTAAGGTCTTAAGTCAAAACAAAGGAACTGTCAAAAGTCCTAGCGATAAATATTGTGAGCAAAATGAAACACATCCCAGTTTTGTGAAGGCTGCCGGCGAAAAAAGAGCAAAAAGCCAGAACATTTCTCTTTTGCATTATCTTAACAAATTTTTAATTCAAATGAGAAAGGACAATCTTTGACAGCACGCGGTTTTAACCGGCCAGCCCCGATACGAGGAATTGGGAGATACGTTTTATACAAAGTTATGGCAACTGAAAGGTTTGTTGTTGAGTAGCGGAAGTTATCACTCATGCGAGATACTGGTATTCATCATTCTGATCCGTACGTTGTATGTATAACTTCTCGATGAGATCTTCGATGCTTTTCTTGATGAAAGCTACATCGGGTGTGAACCTGCTTCTCGTCTGCTCCACGACCTTAATTAGGTAAGTTTAACAGTCCATCAGAGGTGTTCCAATGGCACAGTAACTTGACGTCAACAGATTCCGTTTCAGATCCCCAAATCCTGATCGCAGGGAAAGAGATAAGCAATGGTCAAACGTTCTGAAATGCGCCTTGCGCTCCAACGACATTCAGAAATTTCTTCTGCGACGGGATATCCGTCGCACGATTCGCGCAACTCGCGCGACTGATCGCAGACTCTGGCACCAGCCAAACCCTTTTTTACTATTGTAACCGCTGATTCTAAAATCCAAGGCAAAAAGTAATAACATAAATCAGAAGAAGGTAACACTTACTTCGCTAATCAAAGCATTGTGCTTGAGAACTTTACGGGTTTTCATAATACGTACAATAGCACATTCCATGTAGTACTTACGGTCATGTGTTACCTATAAAAGTTATGAGGAAAGTTTAAGATATTACATCCAACAAGAAGTTTTCCACTTACAGTATTGCTGACAGATTCGGCTTCTTTCTCGGCGTTTTTCACCACCTGAGGGGTAGCGAGGCGGAATCGGAGTCTTTTGCAAGTCAGTGATTTGTTTAAGACCAGTTCTGAGGTGTCCGTCAACTCCTAAGAATGAATAGATAATTAGATGTGATGCCACCTTATACACGTGGAAAAAGAACGCCACAAATTATGTTAATTAACATTTTGCAGTTTGATTACATTACATCCAACATCTGAGTCGGTTTGCTTACATCGAGTAAGCGATGGTCCGACAAGTAGAGTTCAAATGACCACCACAGTTCTCGCCGTGAAGTAATTACACCTACAGTCCTCTAGATCACCTGAGTTGCAGGCCAAGAAGGATACATGGTCACTTTATGCAAGGCTAATAAGCTGCACCGAACGTTCATAGCTTTTTTGCTGGTACTCATGATAAAAACTCCTGTAAATCGATATAATGTATAAAAAGCACAAACCTTGGTGGCAGCGGTAAGTATATTAGCGTCAACGATAGAACGAACGTTTCTAAGTAGCGCGTCACCCGAGATGCCAGTCGCTAGAGAGATCACGGAAAGCTGAACAAAAACTTATCAGCAGGTGGAATTCATAGAAAGATCGTGGACAAATTTGCTGCTTTGGAGGCTTTCCTCCCAAAGATCTTCGAAGAAATTTCTCCCCACATAGTCCATTATTTGATACGAAACCAGCACTCACCTTCACGGAATCCTTCGTTTGGAAGCATAAAAGCACTGACATTTGGTGAACGCTCATCGACACAAGGTACGGTTTGTCCAGATAAGTCAGTCGCAATTCACCTGCAACGCTATCGAGTTAGAAATCAATTAATTCAAGTGCTTCCGATCACTGCAAAACCGAAAAAACAGGCTGCTAGGTGGTGCTCTCAGGCATTGGAATTGGAAATGGCGATCTACTAGATCACAAAATCGTGCATTCGCTATTCCTGGGCTGCACAAGGCAGACATTCCGCATACTGCAAGAGAGTCGTAAGCTACGAACGCCGTCTATTATGCGCGATCCAGGAACCACACTCAAGCAATATTTTTCACAAAGATGGAGGATCGAATAATTAAACGACTACAGGGGCGGTATTCAATCCTTCCCCCAGGGGGATATATCCCCCTCCTCTGATTCAATCCTCTGGGGGGACAAAAAGGGTTGCGTCATAGGACCTAGCATACCTCTGTGTTTCTACCTGCCAGACAGTTAGAGCAGCGCTACTACCCTCCACTGATGAAGCACTCTTTCCCCTGAGGGGTCGCGCTGCTCTAACTGTCTGGCAGGTAGAAACACAGAGGTATGCTAGGTCCTATGACGCAACCCTTTTTTGTCCCCCAGAGGATTGAATCAGAGTAGGGGGATATATCCCCCTGGGGGAAGGATTGAATACCGCCCCAGATGAAGAAATGACTGAGCCATGCAAATAAAGGAGTACACATACCGTGTGACATATTGAATAACCATGTAAGTTTTCGTCCATTATGGGCTCCAATGTAGTACTCCTCAAACGCCTCCACAGATGGCTGCAGAATTGGTGGTAGTATGAATGAAGCTGTTTCAGAGTTACCATTGTTTGATCCAGCTATAAATTGAAACAATAGAACACATGGGAATCATTGAATTGAAGTGATGGCGATGATATCTGAGAACCCACATTCGTAGATCTCAGAATATCCTACCCTTGTCTAGAAAAAGAAACCTCATGGTCTAGTAAATTTTCAATAGAAAATATTTTAGAAATTTCTGCAGTAGAAAGGCGGTAGCTCACCTTGTGGGGCAGACAGCGGCCATGATCCAGCTTGCAATACAAGAGGTTGCATCGACACATGAACAGAAGTGTGGGTTTTATCCAGGTGCTGAAAACAAAGCTTATTTTAAAAATATTGCTAGCAATATAAGCAATATCACGAGCAGCAAAATGAAACCTACAATATTCACCTTGTTGAATTTATCAGCTAGTTCATTACTCAAACCAATATCAGTGAACATTCGAGACAACTTGCTAGTGAATTCGTAGCCACATGCTTGCTGAAACAATCTCATACACTAATGGCTGCACTTCCAGAATTGGATTAAGTGCTTCCACGTTTCAATCCAAAACAGCAGGGGAAAAATTCAGTGACCTTCAGTTTATTGATCATAGCTTCTTCAGCATCCATAGCAACGGAAAATCCCATGATCAGACGTGAGGCCAACATCTTGGAATAGTACTGAAAATGTGACTCATAAATCGGAGTTCCAAAGAAAACCTTTATAAACCACATCGACTTCGGAAGCAATGTGCCAACCTTTTGGAACACGTCCTTGTCCTCAATATATCTGAATATTACTATGGCCTTGCTCAATTGCTGATCCACTTCCAATTCACTCATTCCTTTTGCTGATTTTCTCAACAGGTTGTCTGTGTATCTGGCTAGCTGCAAACGTAAACATGTTACTCAAATAACCGACCAGTTCCTCAAAACCCTCCCAAGAACGAGAATTTTGCCATGCGCGAAAAAGAACGGGGAATTTTGCAAAAAAAGAAAATACTTGTCCTTTAAGAAGGAACTGTAAAACAAAGAGAATGGAGAAAAGAGGGAAAGGATCTGCATTTCTATGTTCCAGAAATCTACTTTCTCCATAATTATATAATGAATCGTAAAAATGATTAAAATCAGAATTAAAATTGTCGTAAAAAGGAATGACTCCCATAATACTTACCCTTTCACTTGCACGTGGTGGTCCACTACCTTCCTTCACATTAACAACGCTTTGGAGAGCCTGAAGGAAAAATTTAAAAGGTTAAAATTCAGGATTCAAGCGTCAGATCCTTGTTCAAGCACAAAAAGCACGACCACTGACATAGGCTACATTTCCGAATGGCAAGAACTTGAATTATAATTAACAAATGCCTCCTGCCTCCTACTACATAAGGCTTAATGTTTAAAAGTTTGTCCGGTGCAAAAAGGATAGAATCGGAGATAAGAAGAGAAAATTATCACTAAGAGTACCTTATCTAGTGCTCCTGCGAAATCACCATCGTCCATAAAAACTTCCGTCTTCATTGCATGGAACTTCTCGTGCACCTTCAATGAGGATGCTTCACTTTTTCTTGAATATTAGTAAGCTGGAAATGATAACGAACCTTTAACACATTATCGACAAATTGCTGAGGAACATTGTCTCCAGAAATGGTAGATATTAAATCAAGACCCTTCTTGCGGACATAATCTTCAAACTCTTTTGCCATCACTAGTAATCCAGACGGAATCGGCTTCAGCAGTCTATACATGTTGCGCAAATCTAAAAGATAAGCTTCAGTTTGTCAGTTTACGCAAGAAAAACCTGTCACGGGCCACTGTAAAGCTGATGACGTTACAGATAATACTGTTTTCTCGCTGAGATAGACCCAGACCCTTCTAAAATGAACCAAAAACAGTGAATACCTTTCCTTTCTTCGTTGGTAATCAGCTCATGACAAACAGCATGCAGCTTATCCTTGTGAGCATTAATCATAACATCCTGGCATAAACGAATCACCTGAAAATGGATTACAGAAGAATAACGCTCATCTCTTCTCGACCTCTCCCTTTCCTCTCCTATAGCCCCTCCCCTTTTCCGAAAATCGTTAGGCTGGTGTCAGAGTCAGCGATTCTTCGCGTGATTCGCGCGAATCGTGCGACGTATCACAAATCACAAGTGCCCCGATCAATACTGCGAGGTGCTCTCCAATCCCGCCGCTGCTTGATGGTGATGGTTGAATGACGACTGTTCATGATTCTACTTGTTTCATATTCAGTGTTTCAAATGTTCAAATGGGCACTTGCGATTTTTGCGATCGCGCGAATCGCGCGACGGATCGCGGACTCTGACACCAGCCTTACATGTAGGTAGCAGTGTGGAATTTTTTCAAATACCAAGAAAGTACAACAACTCAAATGGTGTACTTCTAGTGGATGAAGGATAGGAGCACGGAAAAGTGTACTAAAATCAATAGCAGTAATAGTGGAAAGCTTGCTAAACAGCTACCTATGAAAAGAGAAGAGTATAAAGAAATTGCAAGAAAACATTATAAATAAACGCATGCCTACCTTTGAAACGCTAGACTGGCTCACGTAAGTTGCGGAGCGGCGTTCTTCTGCTTCCAACGCTTCGATTACCTGTAAGCACAAACATTGGCCGTTGAATTTTCACTTTCTACTGTTATATTTACAGCATATAATTTCAAATATCATACAGAACACTTCCAATGCTTCAAAAACTCTTCAGAAATCCCCTGCTCGATAAAAATAAACACTCACGGCTTCCATGTATTTACTACAAGTCATATCAGCTAGTAGTTTTTGTGCCAATCCTGAGTAATATTCCTCCGTCGAAGCTAGAAATCTAAATGACAATAACAAATGAAACAAATGTACGTAAACGCTTCGAAAACCTCTCCACTCCTGTCCACTAACCTTGACTCGAATGCCTCTTGATAGAACTCCCTCGGCGGTTCTCTATAGTTGAGTTTCACTCCAAGGGCAACTGGTTCACTAGGAGTGTACTCAAACTCTTCGATCTAGAATAAGGCTGGAGTACAGGCCGAGAATGTCCGAAGAAAAAAGCAACCGGATTAGTAAAAGATTACCTGGAGAAATGAGGAAATAACACCAGCTATGACATCCTTATTGGGAGGAACGTTCCCAAGGCGGTCTTGACCTATGGCAGCAAGAAGCAAGTTGACTAGCTTATCCAGTATTGGTTCTATCAGCCGCTCTTTCCATATATCCATTGCTAACTGAAGTTGCAAAAATCATATCGCCATAGCAAAGAATGTAATAACAAAGAATGTAATAAAAAGACAGGGAAAAAGAGCGAAGGAGAAAATAAAATTAGAAAAAATCATATACAATTAAATGCATGGTAAGACTGAACACTTACTAGAGATTAGAATAAATATGAAAAAATTTTAAAATTGGTAACCAAGAATTAAAATACTAGAGATGAATGAATTCAAACCCACACAGCCTATCTCCTTCACATCAGGTTTCTGCAAAAATGTTGCATAACTGGCCACTGCATCACCCTCCACGGAGCGTTTTGATTTAACGAACTGATTATTCAGATATCTAAACGAATGCAGCTCATGTGATAATTGAAATCGAACAATAATCATCTGTTCAAACAATGTTACCCGAAAAGCCTATGGACGTAGTTGGCTCCTTTATAGTAGATCTTCCACATTGAATAATACTGGTTCAATAAATCGTCAGAAGGAACGTTGGCTATTTTCTTGAAATGTAAATATCCATAAAATTGAGGTATTATATAGAGAAATAAATAGATAATTAAGTATCCTATCATTGAAAACCTCCCAACTACCTCGTAGAGGCTTGTTACATGCATCTCAATGCATTTCTTCATTGATGTATATAGTCGGCTACTTAGTGGTTCAGGTATAGCAACACAAATATCGTAGACGTCACTGAAAAGAGAAGTATAATAACACTTGTAAAAGCAAGAAAAAAACAAAGAAAAAGCCCCCGTACCGACAAAAAAAGGACCTCTGAAAAGTGAACAACAACCTGAAAAGAAAACAAAAGGCTAAGGCTGATGTCAGAGTCCGCGATCCTTTGCGCGATTTTCGCGATTTGCGCGACGGGTCACGGAAATCACAAGTGCCCCATCCATACTGCAAGGTGTTCTCCAATCCCGCCGTCACTTCTGCTTGATGGTTATGGTTTAATGGAGACTGCTCATGATTCCACTTGTTTCATATCCAGTGTTTCAATTGTTCAAATGGGGCACTTGCAATTTTTGTGATTGGTTTGGTTTGATTCCTGAAAAAAATAGGAACGATTCAAGAGCATTTCAATGAACTAATAGACATTGAACATGAAACAAGTAGAACCACAAACATTCGTCTTCCAATCTTTACTGCCAAGCAGAATTCGCAGCAGGATTAAACAACACCTCGCAGTATTCATCGGGCACTTCCAACTCCTGTGATCCATCGCAGGTTTCGCGAAAATCGCGCAAATCGCGAAAATCGCGAAGAGCGGATCGCGACTCTGACACCAGCCTAAAGCAAGCAGTGCGAAGCAGAACGCGTAATATAGTCTAATGTTGCGAGTTTTTTCGTCGGAACACTTCCCGAAGTCGTTAGATAACCTTTGCCAGCTTCCAAGTCCAGTCCTCGGAAGCACTCAAAGGCCAGTGTACTGAAACAATCCGCACTGCTCCTTTTTCCCTAATTTTTTAGGAAATGGAATCAGATATTTCGCAGATTGCTAGTTTTCCCACTACTAACTTCTGTTTGCTCTCAAGAATCGGACATTCAACCCTGAAGAGAACGATTCCGTCGAAACGGCAGCCAATAAAAATTATTTAACAACCTCGTGAAGAGTTCAGAAAAAGAAAACCGCAACGATATCACACAAAACCCCACATGGCGACAGCCTCTCGCCCTCGAACTCAATTTTTCTGCTTAATCGTTTCTTTTTTACCTCACACAAGCAATTCTGCACCCTACACTGAAGTCCGTGCAAAATAAAACAACAAGAAAAGTTTACTGGATTAAGTCATGTTCGCTGAGGCGAGATCTTCCAAATACGAGCACAAAATGCCAAACCAGGGCGTGTGAGGGAATGACAAGGCCTTTTTCCGCACCCATCGCTTGCAATTTGAACTCTGGTACGATCTCAACCAGGCCAACTTTATCTTCTACTTCAATAGTCAGCTAACTGCAACTCGAGCCTCCTGGGACGACCAATGAAGTTTGGCCGTCCCACAAGGGCTAGGCAGTGCATAAGCTAAATATCCACTCAAATATCACCATAATTGTAAGAGGACTATGACGGCATGGCGCATCTCAAAAATCAAGTAAACAAGGGAAATCCTTAGCTACTTGAACAAAACGAGCAAACTAAGGCGTTAACTTAGAAGGAAGTGTCGAACAAATAATTCAAACTCACTGAAACTTGTCGTCCCAGTCCTTCTTCGTCATCGGGTGGAGATTCATGATTTCGATCACCGATGGCTGTAGGTTACCCCATACCTTGTCGAAATCGACAGATTTGGGCCCCAACGCATAGGCAGCCATTGGCGGGCCGCTTTTTACTGAAACATAAAGTTATCTTTTTTTGCTGCCGAGCAATACAGATAGCGGTTTTAAGTACATGAATAAAAGAAAGATTGAAATGAAGGGGCGAAGGAGGTGATTACAGCTGTGATTGAAATAAAATGTTCATAGCGCGTACCCTGGGTAAAGAATCAAAGCGTCTCCCAAAGTTTAAGAGTCATGAAATTTGTTCCCAGTCTACCAGATTCTACAGCACAAAACTGATATCTTCACAGTCACTTATAGT